CTGGGCTGTTTGTTTTGCTAATAACATAAATCTTGCTGCGCTTGCATCCAACCGGTATCATTCGTAAAATAAAACCCAAAACCAGGCTGCTGCTGGAGCGTCCCTACTGTTCATGCTTATACTTATACTGTGTTACTTTGTGGTACTATTGTGATAATGATTAGGAAAAAAAAGTTTTTTTTATTACTTTTTTGGGTAACTGTATGGCGGTGGCTTAATGGCACCGCATTCATATCGCCATAAGCACAAATATTGTTCTTAAAAACCATTCCCATTTGAAATAGTCTTCTTCGGTACGTCACTTATTTACTGTTAATAGTCATTTTTCATGACGATAAATCAATATTCTTAGAAATTTTTCACAAGAACTAGGTAGGTGATGACTTATGTCATGTCTTCGGATTCACACCCTAATTTTACACATTGAGATAAACTGTTTAGCTAAACTGATTAAAATTACACAAAAATAATAATTAGTGCTGAATTTTCAGCTGTAATCTTTTACCCTTGTTGCTAACAAAACAAAGCCAAGCTTGAGGTAAAAAATGCACAGCTTATATATCTGTGAAAGTTTGTTAGCGTTGCTATTTACCGATCGAGGTTTGTTGCTAGTTCTTTGACTGCCGTCTGTCCTCAGGCTTCACGTAGTGCGGCGCTGAGCGATGTGAAAGGTCCTTGAACTGTGCAGACAGGAACACACGCGAGCTTGTCACTTTTCATCCGGTCATCGTCAAGACAGCCGGCCACTGAGATAAGCAAAGTGGCTGCTTGATTTGAAAACTGTTCAACTGTTCAACTGCTCGTATCTTACTTTTGCCAAATTGTATTTTGATGTTTTGTGAAGATTATTCATTTTAGCTTTGGGAGTTTATTCAATATCTTACTAATTTAGTATTCCTACTTCTAAATAGTTTGCACCCACACATCAGGTAATCGTATCTTTAATTCTCTTGGCACTCTTTTTACAACCAAACTGATTACTTTTTGTGAAAACTAAATGTTTTTTTCTTGCATTCACTAAGTACTCCCTGGGAGTGACCTTGAGTCCCTTAATTTTGGAAGATCGGTGATTGGCTGATACTTACGGGAAGCCGATCTCGTCAGTCACTAAAAATCAGCCACTGGCTCTATTGCTGTGCTGTGACAGATATTTGACTGACAGACCCAACCTACAGCTCATCTCTGCATGTTCACTGTGGCCAAGTCAGGAACTTTCTTGCTATATTTAGCAACATTTCAAACCAAATATTGGTAAAAATCCAAATAAGCAGTCCATACTAAAAGATTGATGATCATTCAGAAAACTACAAATATGAATTCTAACTATACCTTTTGCTTATCCCTTACTTGATGGTATTTTCTTTATGTAAAATATGTCCTAGAGACGCGTACCGCAATAATAAAGGTCTTGTTATTTGCTGATCTTCTATTTACCTTTGTATCTGCAACAGAATTGCAACCTCACCGCAATGGATGTTGTCAAATGGATTTAATGATGCCCCATTAAATCACTGTGATTTCTGCTGGTTACTTCTGTGGTTACCTACCAATGAACAGACATAAAAGGTTCTCCAAACATTAGAGGATGGATTTGTTCTGTATGCCTGGTCCAGTAAGTGGATCTTTAGTGAGGCTTCATTACTTCTATTTGCTTTTAATGATGCAGGCTGCGGCACATGTAGTTTTATTTAGCTCTTAGCGGAGGCTGGCTGTGAGGCTGGTGGATGTAATAAAGCTCAGAGCTGCCTTGTGCAGTTTTATTAAGGAACCTGTGGGGGAAAAACCGCTGCTATTTTATTCATGTCTTCCATGTATATCTACCTGGGAGCAGCTGACATGACAGGAGGCTGAGAGGAGGAAGGAAATGACAGAAGGATGAAATGAGTTTTAGATTTATAATCCTTCAGACATGACCCCCATTTCCTGCAGCTTCACGTCCTGGGGAAATGTCATGTCAGACTCGTGTTGGTCAGATTGGATGGACAGGAGGGAGACACACACACACGCACACACACACACACAGACTCTGCTAGGAGTGTTTGCTTATACTCGTTATCTGTGTTTTTATGTTATTATATACACTAATTGTTTCCATTTTATAACCTCTCCTAGCCATACATCCTATCTTTCTGTATTTTTAAGATATTTTCTTGTGTATTCTGTCTAAAAGTCGCTTTTTACTTTGCTAGAAATGTCATTCCAGTAAAATCTCCATATGAAGGATGCGTTTTGCTTCCAGGAAGATTACAGGATTATGTAATTGCATGTTATACATGAGGTTTAGGGCCTTAGAGGGGATAATGGCACCACCAAGGTTCATTTTTACTCCTTATAAAAGCTTCCTTTGCCTTTTTAAATCCGGACACACACTACCAATAAAAGTTTATTTTTAAGTGCTGTCTTTCATTAGCATAACGGAGAGAAATGTTCAAACTGTACGTCTAATTTTGGTGAGGAGAGGGCAAAAATTGAGTTGAACATTTATCATGTTCATCTTTTACCATGATTACTTAAATTTCAATTAATGATTAAAAAAAACTGTCTATATATTATTGTAGGGCTGGACGATATGACTGAAACTTGTATTTGCAATATAAGTATTTAATATCAGTTTGATAGTTATTGATTTCCGGTAGTTTCTTGTTTTAAATATCTGAAACTGGTGGCTTGATCTTTTTTATCTACAATTTTCACTTTTTACCAGTTGTGAGGTAGAGGTGGTGACCCTAAACTGCTACAAAAGTTACTCAATAGACTGTTGCTAGGCAACCAAAGAATGAGTGAGTTGCTAGGCAACCAAAGAGCCAGTGAGTCAGTTGATTCCACCAACCTAGCTTGGATCGCTGTGAGAGGTTGATAAGCTGAAGCCTTTCCTACATCTCCCAGAATGCTGTGCGGTTCTGGATCGCAGTTCAGTGAATATTCTTTATTTTTAATATTGGATATTCTGTCACAAGTGTTGGCTATTGATATTAATTACATGTCTGTTGTGATATATATTGGTTCATTATCCAGCCCTATATTGTCTGTACTGTTAATTTTTTACTTTTGTTTTTCTCCACTGTTTTATCAATAAATGTACAAATATAATTAAATATAGCTGATGCATAATCTTAGTGATGCAAATAACCCTAAAGAAGTGCATTATAAATGGAAATGTTTTTCAAGAGCAGTATTTGCGTTTGTGGGGGCCATCGTTTCTGTGTCATGTAGTCACATTCATACATTTACCTAAACAAAAAAGGTAGCAAATACGTCACCTTTATTATCACAATAGTACCACAAGATATTGTGATGACATAGTAAATCCATATCTAACTTAAAAGCCGACGAGTTCTTGCTGCTGCGTCTGTCTGTGTGACCTCAGTTGAGCTCAAAGTTGCCCTTCCCTGATCAGTCAGCCAGCCAGGAGTGGAGCAGGATGTTTTCTCTGCCAGTCTGTCACTCCCGCTCTACCTCAGCAGCCGACGAACGGCTGCAGACAAATGTGCAGCGACGAGACGGAGAGCCCACTGAGCCTGCCGCACTCCTGTCATTAACATGGAGAGTCACGCTCCTTCCTCTCTGCACCAACACACGGTTTCCTCGTTTCTGTTCTGAAAGAAACCTGGATTCATTTCCACAAATCTACATTTACACCTCTTGAAATTTTGCAGGGATTTTATTTAAAAATCTTATTTTGATGGAACCTCTGCATATCGTCTTCCATCAAAGATCTTTTCTTGCATATATTCCAGTTTTTCACGAAGTGTTCAGCTGGATTTTTTTTGTTTGTTTTTTGTGCTTTTGTTCAGAAGTGACTCTTAGGTCAAATCTCATTTCACTTTATATGTCCCTCAGTGTTACCCTCACCATATAGTGTCAAGAACGACATCCAGAGCAATCCTCTTCTTCTGCCTCCAACCATCCGGTTACACCAGCGCCTCAAAGAGAACAAAACAAATTCAATTTACAAATTCATCAAAACGATACAGAAAAAAAATCTTCCTTTTCTGTGCTTTTCACACAGCAATGCGACCCAAATTCAAGGTTTATTTTAATTTATTTTTGCTTATCTGTGACCTACATCCAACTTTGTATTGTTAAGTGTTTTTCCACCTAAATCAAATGAAATGATCAACACAAATTAGTTTTTATTGGATTAATAAAAATTTAAATCAGATGTTGAAGTTTTTCTATCTGCTTCTGGTTTGTGGATTTTGCTCATGTCTTATCTCCTTTCTTGAAGTTTTTGCTTTGTTTCACTGAAACCCTTGGACTTCATTCATCAAAAATTAAACGTAGTGAAAATTATTTTGAATACGCTGCAGTTCCAAAAGCAGCCTGTTTTGATTAATCGTTCTTTGTACGGCTTTCTTTACGTTTCCATTCAGGACGTAAACCATGTTTTCTCGATAATTCTGCAAATTATCTCATTATCAAGTAATTATGAATGCTGGACTCCAAATGAATTTTCTTTGAAGTGATTTTTAGGTTCTGCACGGTAATCTCTTGTTGTAGCCGTTGTTTATTAGCGGCAGTGCATGCAGGCCTCGGTCCATAGACATTTTGGGGTTTAGTCTCTGTTTCTCTCTTTAATCTCGGCACCTGTCTCTTGCCTCAGGCAGACTTGGAGGTGGAGTTCACTGAAGCTTTTGCCTGCTGACTTTGGATGAGACCCAGTTTTCTCTGACAACAGCCTGAAATCTCCAGAGATTTCATATTCTCTTTCATATCTCACTCTCCATCTGGCTTATTTGTTTGGGAGTTGAGGATTAAATCTCTGCCGCCTCATATCCGATCAAACGGAGCTGTAACAAGTAATATAATTTTATCATAACACAACAGGATTTGGGAGGAAATATCTTCCCACTGTTATATCAGAGTAGCTATAATCTTTCAGCTCAAAGTAAAAGTCGAGTGCTTTAAAATTACCACAAAACATGTTTGGATGCGTTGGGGATCTGCTGCTCTGACACGTTTCTGGCCATGTATTGATGATTTGTTGTTTTGTGCTGCAGAGGGAGATGAAGGAGCAGCTGGCTTCGCTGCAGGACAGCGAGAAGGGACACTCGGAGGCCCTCCATCTCCTGCGGAGACAGCTCACGGAGACCAAGGTACTGTAAGCACTTCCCTTTAAACACAAATGTCATTTCTCACACAGAGACTTCAACTGATCACTGCCACTTTCTCTGCAGTGTGTAAACTCAGCAGCTCCAAATTACTGATATCTGAAGGTCCAGAGAAGCTGTATTTATCGTCCATATGGTGGTGTTGTATTTTTGTGTTTTATTTAAAAAGCCCTTGATTGTGGACTTTTAGGTGCTGCGGTTTATTTTCTTACTTGAAGGTTCACATCTTATGTCATATTAAGACGCTCCGAATGCTTGTTATGTTTAAAGTTAATGTTTTATGTAATTATTTAGACATCACTTGCCCAGTGTAGGTTTTGTTGGGTCAAGTGAGTCAAACCTGTTAATAACTTTATAATTAGAAGGCTTGAGATTTACCGGATCCAAACAATTACCAGAACGCACCCTTTCAAAATAAGAGAATCCAGCTCAGATCAAATCCTGCAGGTGAAACACCAGAATCCAGTTTTCAATCTGCTTATATGTAGGAAATGGATCGTTTATTAAGTAGGTATGGAGTGTTTGGTCACTGATTATCTCACTTCCCCGGTGCTTTGGGTTGCCAGGTGATTTCTAACACAGCCTGGTTTTAGTAGCTTTTTAATCTCGAGTCATTGTGTTAATAAGTTAATATTTGCTCACCACCTCACACATCTTTACACTCATCATTCTCTCCTGTCACAACAAACCCTTCAGCTGGATTCACTGGAGGCAAATCATGTCTGATTTCCAAAGAGGAGCTTCGAGTTTTTACTTCCTCCAAATATTTTTGTTAAAGTCCCTGCATGATGTTTCTGCATCGCTCGCCTTCTTGTCCTGGTCTTCTCTGTTTTATCGACTCTCTGGCCGCCTGATATAGGTCGTTCATCTCACTGGAAATGAGCTGATCTCATTAGCTTTACATCCATTTGCAGAGAGTGCTGTTCCTGGAAGTGGGCCACACTGGCAGCATTGATCTTTGTTGCGTTTAGGTAGCTGACAATGAAATGACTTTCGGCTTTCGCTCTTCATTTAGTTCAGAGTTGGAGGGACGAGTTCTCGCGCCAGAAGGAATTCAAACTTTACATATGCTGTCCTCCTGCTCTTCTTTAAGTCGGTGATTTTAGCGCCAAATCGTTGCCTTTATTTCACAACTCTTTTGCCGTTTTGTGCTGTAAATTGAGATTTTCCTCTAACCTCACCAGGGGTTTGCTGGATGAAAAATACTCAGCCTGACGTCTCTGAAGGCTGCAGCCACCCACTCAGTGCCATCACGGCCTGCTGGGCCAAAACAACAAACACGTCGGTGTGACTGATGGCTGCTCCGCTGCAGTCGTCCTCCCCTTTCTTCACACTATCAGTTAAACTCTTAACTAGGTAGGAAATCTTTGGCTCGCCGAGGGATCGTCGTTCTAACGAGCTCACACAGGAAGTGAGAGATTACCTGTCTGCACCGGCCAGCAGGATCACGTCTGCTGCTTGAAAGGAGGAAATTGTGGGTGTGAGGAATTAAAAGTTCAGAGATACAGCTGCTGTTTTTCACAAAGTTAGAGTAGAAGTTGTAAAATATAAGAATTTGACTGATCTATTGAGATGTGGTTGTATGTAGGCAAGTCATGATATTTTTGCCTGATGATAAATTTCAATAAAAGATCATGTTATTTTCAGACCATTTTCCACTGATGTTATGATGGTATAAAAATGCAACTATTATACTGTCTCAAAAATTAATAAATTAATTTCTGAAGAACATTTAACACTGGAAATGGAAGACATTTTAATAATCCAAATAAAATGGATTATGACGTCTCTGTCCCTTTTTCACATCTCTTGTGTGATTAAGCGAACCGTTTTGCTGGGCACCATTTTGTGCCTTTTTGCAGTTTGTCGATTAAACACCTCAGTGGTTGTGAACTGTCCGTAAAACGGAGACGGCCCATTGGCTGTAGGTTTTTTTTGTTTTTTTTTTTCAGTTTGGGAAAACTGTGTTGGATGATTACATTTTAGATGCAGATGCATTTTCAGTTGCTTCTGTCTTACAACAAATGCAACATACCGTCTCTCACAGGTTCACTTCAGCTTTCTTGTGTCGCAACAAGCTCAAAATTTCACATGCTCAAATTTTATTGGTGGTTTGACTGGAGGAGCGCAGGCGACTGTCGCCTCATTGGACGGGTTGCACAGGAAACGAATGGAGAGGGACAACGTCGCCTCCTGTGTGTGTTGAGCCCTGAAAAGAGAAGGGAAGGAGTCCGAAATGAAGCTTTTCCTCCTCCAGTCTCTTTAGTTGAAAGAAACATGATGAAAACAAACAAGCATTTGGTTCTCTTTAATTTATTATGAGATTATTTCATTTATTCCTTGTAGCTACAGGCCTACCTGCATGTATGCATCTTTGTTTGTTTTTAATCAGGCCTTCTGTTCTATGCAAACACTCATTTCTTTAAATGCACATCTTATTTTTGTAAACATTTCTCCTCTTTGGATTCTTCTGTTACTTGAACCTGCTGAGATTTTTAATGGATTCCTCTCCTCTGTCTGCCCACCTGTCCTCCCACTCAGCTTCTCTTTAGTGACTGTTCATGTTTGCCTTTTATTTTTGTTCCTTTTCTTCTGCTTCTGTACAGTTGTCTGAAATACTCCTTATTTTCAGGTTGGATGGTTGTGTACATGTATTACTCCCGAGAGCTTCATAAAATCAACACATCTACATGCTGAATCAATGAATTACTGTTTATGCAATATTAACAGAGTTTAGAGTGCTGTGCAAACCCTAGATTTATTGAGTTTTGTGTAATTAAAGTTCAGCCATTGTGACCTCAACTCTACAGAAAAGCTAACAGCGGTCAGGAAATATGCACTGAAGCACTGTGACCTGCATTTATCCATTCACCATCTTACATGGGTTCAGCTTTTACAACCAGGAAATTTTTTTTTTTTTTCAGTCTTCAGCCAAGAGTCTCCGTGCAACCATCGGCGATGCGTTCGAGCGGCTTCACCGCTTCCTCCGAGAGCGCCAGAAGAGCATGCTGGAGGAGCTGGAGATGGACACGGCCCGCAAGCTGGCCGACATCGAGCAGAAGATCCAGTGCTACAGCCAGCAGCTGCGCGACGTCAAGGAGGGCATCCAAATCCTGCAGGAGCGCCTCAGCGAGACGGGCCGCCACGACTTCCTGGAGGGCGTGGCCATCACATCCGAGAGGTGGGTGCGATCTGCTCAGAGCCTCAAGTGTGAATAAATGTGCTCTGAAGCAGTGTTTCTCAAACTATGGTCCCTGGACCACCGGAGGTCCACAGACCCCCCCTATTGGTCCGCGAGGTACTGCATATAAACAACCGTTTATTTGCTGTGATGTGAGCTCAAAGTGTGACGCTACAATTAGCTTAGCAAAGGATTGTGCTAACAAAAGCTTAAGATGGAAAGAAAACAACGCCAGGATTATATAATTGGAGGAAGCCAAGTTGTTTTCATGTGAAGTTCAGTAGCGATTCGATTCTTTTGAACAATCTCCAGTAAAATAAGAACTGTTATTTGTTTTTTTTACAACTTTGCTCGCTTATAATGCTCTGCTCCCACGTCAACAGCTATTATTTTTATTTAATTAAAAATTATTAAATTAATAAAACCGATAGGAACTGCTGGTTAATTTTATATTTAATGGTGCAGAAGAGGATCTATTTTTCTTTTATTTTGCTTCTAAATTACAGATAGACCTAAAAAATGTTATTCATGCACACAACTGGTAGTAAAAACAACTTATTTTTTTTATTTCTATGTGTTTGACATCATTGGAAAGCTTAGAATCCAGACTTTCAGAATATGTAAGTAACTCAAAATGCTCCAAATAAACTCGTTCATTTGGGGCAATTTCAAGTTAGGTGGTTTGTTTGTTAAATTGGTTAAATCGTCCTCAGCCTGAAAAAGTTGGATTTCTAAAGTAGTGGATTTGTTAACATTCAAAATGTGTTGAGAGTAGATTGGAATATTTGAAGTACAAAAACCAAAAGACGGATAAAAAGCAGCTGTGGAGGAGAGGTGAAGAATAAACACAAGTTTATAAGAATTAAACAAAATCACCAACCATTTGAAATTAAATTAATTTTAAACGTTTTCTAAAAGAATGACTGAAGTAGTGGATTGAAGAGCTGGAACGGTTATTCCAAACTTAAGCTTATTTTTGCTTAATTGTTGTTCTACCCAATATTAAGTAAAAGTCACAGACAGAAGAAATACGAATATGAGGATACTTGGTAAAATAATCTTTGGAAGAACTACTAGCAGATCAGTAGCTTCACATTAAATATGGTCAAAATAACCCATTTAAAAGAAATAGAAGTGGATATAAAGGCAGACAGTTTGAAAAATGAATCATTTTTAAAACTAATGCACATATAAATGTGTTGTGCAGCGTTGTGCAACCGGTTGGAGAAAGTAGAGATTTGAGCAACGGCTCCAGCTAATCCCTGAACAGATGGAGCTTTGGGGCCGAATTAAACCAGCTGTAATGTCTAATCAGGAGGTGGATGATGAGGATTTACTGGAACAGTTTGATATCTTAAAGCATAAAATAGTGTAAGAGCAAAAAACTGGCAGTGAATGGCAAATTTCTATAAAAAAAAAAAAGAAATGATGTTCTAGGAATGGCTTCTTTTTCTTTTTTTTTTTTTTAGAAGTGTGAAAAGTCTGGATTATATTAATTATATTTCTATTCTGCTGTGTAAATATTGTCAGTCTGTTGTAATATCTGCCTGAAATTCCTCAAACATTTGTATTTGCAACATAAAAATGCACCAAGAACTTCCCTGAAGTTCAGTAAAGTTAAGAGTTTTAAGTCAAATCTGAAATTTCAGGATTCTAGACGGCGATCAGAGTTGGGAAATCTGAAAATAAGCTCTTACTGCATTTCTCATCTGCATTGCTGAGATGGAAAGTGATATGTTTGACTACAAATATGCTTCTTATGGTTCTGTCTGACGTCCAGCCGAGTGTCTCTGATGCAATGAAGTCCTCTGTGCTGAGAGCGTTAACGCCGTGAGGGGTTCATTCATTTCTCAGAAAAGGAAAATGGAGAGACGTCAGATATTCATTACCGACTGAGAAAAAATCTGGGCACATATGACAAATACAAAAATACTAAAAGAACCAGAACTGTTATCAGTGGTTTCTCACTGTATTGGAAAGTATGGAGTGTGATTTTATTATATTCCAGTTCTGGAAAAGTATGAAAAAAATTAAAATTGTGGTTTGGAAAAAAGGTTGAATTTCCAGACTTCTTCCATTATCTAAAAGATAAAAAACTGAATTTCTGAAAAACAAATATGCTTTTTATAATTCAGTTTCAGCTTAAGACATTAGAATTTGATTTTCTTTGATCTTTATTTTAGATTTTGAATAAAACTCTTCTAAAATAATCAAATGGCTTTTTATTCTTTTTGTTCTTTTGATCATTTTAATTGCATCTTTGAAACCAAATCCAAGGTTTTTAAATTGCTTTAAAAGCAAAGCGTTTAGATGTCTACGTTTTCTGAGTTTTGATAAATTTATTACTGGTTTCAAAGTGTGATTTTCAAGGATCTGCGTTCAGTTCATGTTCAGCTTTTATAGTTTTTTGTTTTTTTATGTTTGTCATTTGAGCTGATTATAAGTTTATCTAGAAGACAAAATGCCTTTTGGAACCAGCTTCAACAATTTGTTTCATTATCTGTGGAAGAAAAAAAACAACAAACCCAAATAAAGTGTCATGAAATGCAGCTGAAAACGATCTCTGAAACTGAGTTTAGAAAAGTGTTGAGCTTTTAAGTGGACATATTGTAGGAACAATGCATCTGTTAAAATGTAAGCCTTAAAATTAACACATGTATGTTTAGGTTGGAGATTGCATCATTGTGTGGAAACAGCAGGACTGTTGACCTTTATTCATGCTGTTTGCTCTCACTGTTTAACCGTTTCAATTCTCCTGGTTATTCTAAGCAGTTTTGAGGTTTTGCTGCTTTCTTTTGTCTAATCATTTTCATAGATTAGACCGTTTCTATTTCTGTTGCTCTGTAAGACAACACCAGCTCTGGCAGGAGGATTAGTGCAGAACAGGACGGCTGCAGGTTAAGATGCACGTTTTGGTAAGGGAGAAGCCGGACTAAGCGGGGTTATTAATTATTTACAGCCTGATTCTTAGACTAGGATGAGTCCCAGGTGAGCGGAAATGTGTCAGCATGTAGAGTAGCTTACTCTCCTTCACATAAAGGTCCATATAAAGTTTTTTTCTTTTTGCAAAGCGTGACCCTTTCAGCTCGTGATTAATGATGCTGTTTACCAGCTAATGGAAGATTTCAAAAAGCATAAATAAAAAGAAATTCATCAAGCATTGAAAGTTGGAGCTGCACAACACGAGTCGATATTAAATTACAAATGACGGCATCAGCTCAGACTGTTGTTGCTCTGTTTTTCAGGGTTAAAGGGAAGATACACGAGACCAATCTGACTTATGAGGACTTCCCAACGTCCAAGTACATGGGGCCCCTGCAGTACACAATCTGGAAATCGCTCTTCCAAGACATTTCACCAGGTAAGGGAGCGCTGCACAAACTACAGCCGTCAGGCTTAAAGGTTGTCTGACTGTTTGTGTGTTTGCTGCTTCGTCAGACAAACAGATCAATATTATATCCTTCAATAAATATGTGGAAAAGTGCTCTGATTTAAATGTTTAGCTGTTTGTTTTTAAAGCTAAAGCAGTTTTATTGGGGTCGCTCACAAGCCAGCGATTCCATTTTGCTAGATAAGCTTTGAGATTAAACAAACAAGATGCTGCTTGTTAATAAATTATGAGCTTCCTGTTGCATTTAATCATCCTTGAGCAACCAAGAGGGAAATTTCCATCTGTTACTGAGGAAAATTACCTTTCAGTTTTATGTTTTTGTTGTCGGCATTATAAAAAGTGTGATTTATTAAAATATTTTCTCAATATTTCTGTTCTGCGCACAAAATATGAAAAAGTATATTTCTTTGTAACTGTAGAGGTGGCTGCACTCAGAATCGACCAGTTTAAGGTCGATACTTGTTGGTAGTTTTTACTTCTACCAGCAATAAGGGGAAAATTTCCTGCTAGTAAACAGCAGCTGTGGTTTTTACCAGACATTTTTACAAAGATTGATACATAGAGAAAACTGTACAGGAGGACAGCCAAGATTCCTGTGGTCGTATAAATAGCAATTTAAAAAAAAAAAAATGCAAAGAGGAAACATCTTTTCCCAGAATGTGATGCGTTTGTTTTGTTTGTTTGTTTTCTGCTCGTGTTTCTGGGTCACTGAGACTTTCAGCTTAACTTTTAATTAAAGCTGCAAGTTCCAAAAACATATACCCAGTGTACCATAATGACTTAGAAACATTTGCTATTGTCTGAAGCAACCGCGTTTTATTTTTCAGGTTATGATTCTGTAAACTATTTGGAGCAGAAAAACAACACCGCACAGATGTTGTGGTAATAAGATAATGGATACCATGTTGCTTGGGGCTGCATTTCGAAGCTGCAGATAAAGACAGATTTTGCCTTTGAGCTCAACAAGCCGCAGCGTACATCCAAATGAAAAATTGAAGGGCTTCAGCGGCAGATCGGCGCTCTGAATGCCTCACCCTGAGCCCAGACCCATTTCTAATTGAAAAGCTACAGGGAGAGCTGCAGCGGGAGAGGATTTAAATAAATTTGCAGAGTGAAATAAAATTGTGAAGTCAAAATACGCTAGACTTTTATTCTCCCATTCAAAAGTATGGAGGTCTAGCTTTATCAAAGCGGAGTGCTTTGATAAAAACAAAATGCGTTTTGCACAGCCCGCGGCTCCTTCTCAGGTGAAGGAGCAGGACTTCTTCTCGCAGCCGTCTCTCGCACTCGCAGCAGATAACTCAACAAACGCACTGAGGATTTTATAATGTTGTTTTGCTCTCTCAATCAGTTCTCTGCCCGCGGGGAGGCCAGACAGTTTCTTGGCCTCACTTGACTGGCTGCTAAATGGAACAATTGGTTGCGATCCATCAGCAGCAGTTGCCAGAGCGTCAACAAAGACATTCGTCCCATCGGCCCCGAAATTCACTGTTCGGACAGCAGGAGCGGACCGGGAGCTGGTTTTAAACCCCACTTATGTTTAGCAGGACAGCTCCAATCTCCTCCGTTTCTTCATTTGACCCCAGCAGGGCGCTCAGGCTATGAATCTTTAATGATTGCAACAAACACTTGAGTTGTCATTGACCAGTGAACAAGCTGTCCTGTCCGCTGGCAGTTCGCCACAAAATTCACCTCCATCTATCCTTGCCGACGTAATTGCAGAACAGTTTTTAAAAAAATTTATCACCACCCTGAAGATGATTAATGTAAGGAAGTAAAAGAGCCGTATTTGTAGTTATGAGCCTAAAAGTTAAACTCCTGTCACATAGTGATATGGAGGCGATGAACTGAGATGTTTTAAATAAACATAATTCAGGTCATTTCTCATTTCATTCACTCAATAAATATGAATAGTTCATGAAACAACTAAATTATATCATGAATTAAAAGGAGCTGAAAGAAGTATTAACATAAATCTGCATGTAGTGACAGTTTTAATAAAAAATGTAAAACTTATTTTTTTATTAAAGTTTCATACTGCAGATTTAAGAAGTGGAGAAAAACAAAATCCACAAGCAAATATTCTCCTTCATTTGGCTCAGACACAGAGAAAAAATAAATAGTAGGTTTATTTTTTAACTTTTGATACTTTGTCTTTTAGTTTTTATACTTGCTGCAACATTAATTGTCCATTTGGGACATGAATCTGAATCTAAAAGGTTAAATTAATTTTTTTATCTAATATACTTAATCTAATCATAAACAATGCCTACATTGGCCTGGCTGTTAACTTCCTGCGTGTGCTAGCTGTGCTGTCGTCATCCTTCAGCTTTGGGTTGTTTTTAGCCTTCAATCGGAGATTTAAATTGTAAAATCTTAAACAATATTTTGAGTCCGTTCACCAGATATTTGTTCTCTTGCATTCGATTCTCAGATGAGCTTTGTGAAACTTTGTGGTGAAAATGTTTGCTATTCTGGTTTTACTCTGAACTGTTCTATACACAAGGAGTTTTTGGAACACATTTTGTGATTTGTGATTAAAGCTTTTGTTTTAATTGAAGAAGCTAATTTAATCTCGTATGTTAAGCTGGATGTATTGTCACAGGCCTGGTGGAGCTCTGAGCTGCTCTACATCTGGAAAGACATGCTTGAAAGAAGCTCCACTGGGTGCAAACCCTCCTAAAACGCATAACTGCACAGAGAATTAGACATCCTACGGAGCTGTGAACTGAAACTGCTCCTCCTTTCTCTGTAATTACTGTCTCTGTGTGTTGTTTACACTCCCGGCGTGGGTTGATGTAGCAGAAACTGAGCTGTCCTGAAGGACACTTTTCTTTGAAGACCAGTGGTTAAAGATAAAACAGATGCGTGGTGGTGGTGGTCACATGGATGCAGCGGTTGTGAAACGCTGTGGTTTGTTTCTCATTCCTGATCATTTTAATCAGCAGGAATATTTCGGGCTGTTGCCTCACCTGATTTGTAAAGTTTCTCAGCAGCTCTACCAGTCGGCTCTGAATTGGCATGACTTCAAATAACATTGGAGCCTTTATCTAATTCATGAAGTTGATGCTAACACAAGACGAGTTGTAAACTGACGACGGAGCAGCTGAGAACGCAGCCAAAGAGTGAAGGAGTTACATCTGGAACACCAAACTAGGGCGTAAGAAAATGGTCTTCGTCTTTAGATTGTTTTCATTAAATTAAGTTTTACATGGAGATTTATCCATTGAGAATGATCTGAAACTGTGTGAGACCTAACAAACCAGCACCCTACCCAGGCATTTTAAAAACTTGCTTGCCTGGAACCCGTCACAGTAACAAGTCACCAGAACACTTCATGTTAGGAAACATTGCAAGCCTCATTTTGCTCCAAATGTGTTTTAATCACAAGAGTTTAGCTGCACCAGTAGTTAAATGTTAAACCTTAGTTAAATGAAGGCTTAAATGTTTGTTTGCGTAGAAGGTCCAGTTCGATTGGGGAGGCGTGAATGCACAATCAAACTTTGATAAGGACCAAGAAAAGCAAACACTGGTTCGCCTAAATCCCTAGGCCTTGGTTTGGTTGAAGTGAACTCTGGTGTGGTTTGAATGTGGATGCAAACAGAACGGAGATTGCTCCAAAAGCAGGAAGTGGACTATAGCGCACGGCATTCTGGGTAAATACAACCAAAAATTTAAGAATCTAACACTCATGGTGTTTTTGCCAAAGACAAAAGAGAAATCTTGCAGCCGCTAAAATCTGACACTACTTCATTTTTGTTAATATTTTGTGAAGAAGGAAGTTGTGCTCATGTCGTCTTCAGAGGTTTTGTGTCATTTCCTTCAGTGGTTTTTGGTGCAGCGCCACCACAGGTAAGTGGGGGAGCAGGTTTTTGGAAGGGTTTGGTTCATTTGAGACAGTGCTGTGTGAAAACATGACAAATATTTCAATTTTGGTTGCCAATCAAAACAAATCTATTTAACTATCAGGTGTAAAAACACCCCTAGAAAAGTCAATTTTAAAATATTTAACCATGCTTTGAAAATCAGTGGAAAGGCTGTCTGTTGATCACTTTTTTTCTGTCTCTGAAATCTGATATGTAACCTGTAATTGCTCTTACCAACAGTGCCAGGAGCTCTGACCCTTGACCCCATCACAGCCCACCAAAGACTGATCCTGTCAGATGACTCCACCATCGTGGCCTACGGGAATCTCCACCCGCAGCCTCTGCAGGACTCGCCGCGGCGCTTCGACGTGGAGGTCTCCGTCCTGGGCGCCGAGGGCTTCGTGTCGGGCGTCCACTACTGGGAGGTGATGGTGTCGGAGAAGACGCAGTGGATGATCGGCGTGGCCAACGAGACGGTGAGCCGCAAGGGCAGCATCCAGATCCAGCCCAGCCGCGGCTTCTACTGCATCGTGATGCACGACGGCAACCAGTACAGCGCCTGCACCGAGCCCTGGACGCGCCTCAACGTCAAGAGCAAGCTGGAGAAGGTGGGGGTGTTCCTGGACTACCCGAAAGGCCTGCTCATCTTCTACAACGCAGACGACATGTCCTGGCTCTACACGTATCGGGAGAAATTCACCTCCAAGGTCTTCCCTTATTTCAGCCCCGGCCAGAGCCACGCCAACGGCAAGAACGTGCAGCCGCTGCGCATCAACACCGTGCGGCTTTAAGGGGAAACGCCGGCTGGTTGCAGATGACCAAACAGATGATTGAATCTTAGGTGACAGAAATGTTTAAAAATGTATATCGGGGGTGTTAAAGTGTTTTCTTCAGTTCTGTCAAGAATCATGCTTTGCGAAATGTTTATTTTTTAAGGACCTTAAAGTTGTCATTTGCACTTGGACCTCATTGAGCATCCTGTTAGGAACAAAGATGACACCAAGTGGAGAAACGTCGGCGGTTCTCCTGGGCTTTGACAGACGGAGACAAAGAACGTTCCTCTTAGAGTCGCTGTCTGAGGCCCACCTCACACTCCCAGGCGACTCGCTCTCACTATAAACTCACGCCTGTCAGGCTCCATGTCGCCTGTTTGTTTCCAAACAAGTGCACCAGTGAAGAACAGCCACTTGTCTCCTGCTACACTGCTGGCTTCCTGTGCTAGCTGTGATTGACAGTATGCCTGTTTGGTTTTTTTTCTCCGTTTTTCAGACGGTGACTCACTCGTGTCAAGTGTGCTCGTATCTTGGGGTTGTTGCTCTTTTGATTTTTGTAAGTTAATTTGTGGATTTTGGCTTCAGAAGAGCCTTAAATAAGAGAGTGTCATTTTTGTTTTGGACTATTATGTTTCTTCCTGCAGTCGCTGTCTGTGTAGTCCGTCATTGTGAAGAAAACCTGTGTGTGTTCTGTTTTATTTCTAAACACTTAAGAGTAGAAGAGAACTACTTGCAGTGTCTTGCAAAAGTATTCACACTTATATTTTGTCCCATTACAAACAGAATTTAAAGGTATTTCATGTGACTGATCAAAACAAAGTGAGCTTGATGTGAAGTGAAGAAGGATACATGGTCTCTGAAAAGTGTGGCATGCATTTGTAGTCAACCCCTTTTCTTTGCAAAACAGGTCATGCTCAGACTGGATGGAGAACTGGATGAAGTTTTAACATAGATTGTCCACTAGATTTAAGTCTGAACTTTGACTAGGCCATTCTATCACAGGTATCCATTTTGATCTCAGGCTACAAAACGAAAGTAGAACCTCTGCCCTGGTTTGATTGCCCTCAATTCAACTCCATCCAGCTTCCCTGTTGATGAAATACACAGCATGAAGCTGCCACTGCCATCTTTCTTGTTGGGGGGTGGTGTGTGTGTTTTTTTTTTTTGGGGGGGGGGGGGGGTTGTGTGTTGGTCAAAAAGTTGCTTGGTTCTGGTTTTCTTCTTGCCAGTCTTCCATAAAAGCCACATTTGAGAAGAATATATGTAACAGATTCTTCCACCTGAGCTATGAATCTCTACAGACCCTCCAGAGTTGCCTTTTTGTGTCATTTCTGAGGTGAAATGGTTGCACTGGTTTTATTTGTAAAGTGTTTAAGGGGTAAAAACAAATGCTTTCCCCACTTCTCTTGTGTGTAAAAACCATAGAAACTCTTCATCATCCTAAGTAGGATGATGAAACTCTTCATCATCCTACTTGTACATCACAATTAAGCATTACTCTCTCTTGTTTTCACATCATAACATAAAATGTCGGCTGTAACTTCATGAAGCATGTCTGCATCGGGGGTGTGAATACTTTTCTAGTGCATTGTGCTCAGTAGGTAGTTTTAAAGAGGCAGGACATTGCTTAGGCAAATGCTGCTATTGGTGAAGAAAGGACCTTCTAGTTTGTATATAAAGTAAAAACGAAGAAGTCTGCCGTGGAGTTGTTCATATTTAAGTTGCTGTCCTTTTCCTGAGATGTCCACATGTTTCTTCTCTCATCTTGTCTTAATATTAAATGAATATTAAATTAAGTAAATATTGATTCTTGTTGTCGAGGGAGCTGTGAGGAGAGAACCGGTGTCCTCTTCTATTAATTCACCTCATTTGTTAGATGAAATTGAGCTGAATGTTTAGAGAAGAGGCAGTGTGCGGGTGAGTTATGTGCTGGTGTTGCATGATGATAAAAATCACAGATCATTCCTTTTGAGGCTCGGTCATGTTCATTTCTGTCCCATGTGCCTCAAGTGCTCTTGTTTCATCGTTAGTCACACACGAGCCCTGCTGTCTGGGGTCACAAATCCAACTTCGGTTGTCGCTAAAGAAGCCGAACCGCCCATGCGATCGGGCGGAAAAAAAGTGGTAATAATTGCACAATTGTTCAAGATCAGGTCGATCTCAACCAACAAATAATGAAACAAAAGCAGCAGCCTTCCTTTGCTACTATATTTTTTATGTTTGCATTTGTGCGTGTGTCATCTTTGTTGGTTTATAAAGTGAAAATTGGGGCAGTGCCCTCACTTTGATAGGAAATGATTCTGGTATGTGCCGTAGGATGCGAATCAAGCTGCGAGTTGGTGGCTGTTTTAACATGCACAGATCTGCAGGAGTCTCTGATTATCCTCAAGTTATGAGTCATTTTTGCAGAGCAACACCTGGATCTGCTTGTTACCCATGAAAAGCCTGCTGTTAGGTTTATTTTAAGGTTTTAGGCTGATGTTGCAGACACTGTGGAGAGCTTTCTGATGTTTTGGTCTAAAGTGAATCTTGACATGCAGGATTATAGAGAATTTGAATCCAGATTCTTTTGCTGCATTCAGTGGAAATATTACAATTGATAGGAGTTGTGTTGGGTCAGTGTTGAATCTATTGGTAAAATATATATATATATTATGCTCATAACTATGACACTTTATATGGATATGATGATGGCCTCTTCGCACTTGTGTTAAAAACAAAAACACTCCAATGGGCTTTTGCTGCTGGAGGATTGTGGAAAATGTTTTAATGTACAATAAACCACTGTAAAAACATCACTGTGTCTTCAAGTTTGTCTTGAAATTAATATTCTTGCTGCAGGGCAATGCTTCTCTCTGGAAAGGGATGAGGCGAAGTCAAATTCCTTTGTCAGGGTGGAGCTTACGTGTGTCAGGATAAAAACAAATCTGTGGGTAAATCTCACCACCAGGTGATTAAAAACAGATCTGTCAACTCATCGCAGAAAATGCATTTTGCATTGTAGCGATTTTATTTCTTAAAAATATTCAATGTTGAGATTCTCACAAATATTTGGATTTGTGGTAATTCATAATGCATATTTATTAGTAACTGAACCACCTGGTGTCAGTCTCGTGTGTAGAATTAACTTTTTATGTTTTTAAACTTTTCTTCAGTTTTTTTTTTTTTTTGTATTCCCAAAAGCACCAACACCGACTGTCCTGGCTACAAAACAAGCACAATCCTTCTTTTTAAATTTTTAAATATGGTCAAGATATTGAGATTAGAGCATAAATTAAAAAAATGTACTACAATAAATTATACACTAGTTCCATAAACATCTCAATATTAATGAAGATTAAATGTTAATTGAAATTTTAATTGAGTTTTGCTTTTGTTTTAAAATAGATTGCAAAATAATTAAATTATTCAACTAAGGCAGGGACAGAGCTGTAGAAGAGGCACACTAAAATTGCAATATCATCTAAAAGCATTGCAGTCTTAAAATTAACAGTGGCCAAAAACTTGAATAACAAAGCTTAACCAAACAAAACACATAGATATGTTTAGTTTAGCATGTGAAAACTACATGCTAATATTTCTAGTCACACGCTTAGCCTGTTTAGCTTAGCATAGCTTAACTGTTGGCATAACGGCGCTAAAAATATAGTTGTAAAAGTCTTATTTTTAGTGCCCTTATGTTAACTCTCTGCAACTTAAAGTAAAAATTATTGAGCCATTATAGACTACAAATTTTAAATTTGTAGGAAAATTATCCCTTTTCTCCTTTTGTGTGTGTGTGTTGGAGCTGTTTTTTTTTTTTTTTTTTTTTATTTCACAACAAACTTGCCAATGAGACTACAGGTGGAAATTAGCCACTTGTCTGTTATCTTGTGTATTTGCGTGTAAATGTTAACTTGAATTAATAATTAATGGCGCTTGTTTAAAAAAAAATCAACAACAGGAGCATTTTTGTAATAAATGGACAAGGAGTGTGGGCAATATGCTACCCATCTAGCATGACTGAACGCTCAAACGGCGTCCTGAGACGGAGAACGAAAACACGCTGCGTCAGATCTCCCACTACATGGTTAACTACTAGTGAACACGAAGAAGTGTGTAAACCATGGAGAAGCTTCATGACCTGAAATCCTACAATCAGTGTTTCAACGGCTTTGTAGAGGACGTTTGAACTCTTCATGTGAACGACACGGGTCTGGTCACTGGCAAAGTAAGTACACCAACACGTAGGCCATGTTCGTCTTTGCTTGCAGATATAAGCTACATTAGCTAAGCTAATTTTGCTAGTTCGGTAATAAGTACTACTACAGTAAATGTGTCTTGTTACACAGATGTGGGTAGAGTACACAAAAATTGTGACTGAATAATACTTGTAATATGCTTGTTTATAAGTTAGATAGGAACGAGAAGAGAGCTAGCTAAGCTTGTACCTTGTTTATTGTTGTCATAACAACAACATAGCAATTTACTACCAAGATGGCTGTCAGTAACAAAGTTCCCGAAAGTGACGTTACATGATAACTATTTTCATTTAAATGCCCATCAAAACCTTTGCATACAACATTCGCCAAAACGTCAAAATAACCTGTTTCAATGACATTAAATACAACAAAGGAAAAAATAATGATAAAAAAACCCCACTTTATTTTACTATGCTGCATGTAAATAAGAAGTTTTGTCACTATTACTTTAATTAGAAAAATGTATCTTGTACAGCGTATCAATTTTAATGCGTTCAAAATAATAAGGTAATATGATATGATAAGGTTGAGAGCTCGGGTGGCAGTGGCCAAGTAGGGTGGCCTAGCAGATTTCAAAGATTTCTGTAACTATAAGACAATTTTTGTAAACTGAGAACCCAAAAATGAAACATATGAGAAGCAGATGAGTCCCCATTGAAACGCAGGAATGCTTTGCCTCTGCTTGTTAACACTTGATCCCTCCCTGTCAGAGCTTCATGGCACATATTTCAGTGGATCGGTGCCAAACTTCCAGCTGGGAGGCGGGAAGCTGTGCAATCTTTTTCATCGCCCTTCCTCGTGTTTTTGGCAACTGCACGAGGCTCGGGGCGTGCGACATGCGGAATGAAAGAGATGTCTCCTGGAGTTCGGTGTTTTTCTCGCTGCGAGTGAGGCACAGCTGCCAACAAGTCCCCCTTCGTTTGCCATCTGTGGTGCATCCAAGTATGCGGTTGTTGAACTGCAAAATAAATGGTTTGATGTTTCAAAAATCGTGACAAAACGTTGATGCCTGAGTCACGCTCCGTGTCGAAGTACTTTAGAAAAGTGGGCAGCCATGCCTTTTTGCTTCATTGCTTCACACTTGAAAGCAGTTGAGTCTTGTTGCATCATGATTGCAGCCACTTCTCAACAAAGAGCGCACAGTTTCAGACAACAGGCCATATTCATCTTGCTGCCGTTGGATGTGGGTACGTCTCTCAGCTCAACGCTGTGATTTTTATCAGAGGACAGAACGCCTCTCCTGTCATGGACACGTTGTTCCTGGGGGGAAACTGTCCATTAAACAGCCACTGAAGTCTCCTTAGAGAGATTTGATTCCTGTGTGCCGCGGCCCTCCAGAGGCAGGAGTGTGAGGTTTCTAATCTTGCAAGCAATCTGGGGGTGAAAAGCAGAAATGAAGCCTCCATTTTAAGTCTGCTTCACAACAAGACGTTCAGCTATGATGCTGGTGGCATGAACAGACTCATCATCTGTGTTATTGAATGTTCTGGGATTACTTACAGTGTTCGGTGACATAGGACTGGAGGCCTGTTATTAAGCTCTAAACGTGAAGCAATGAGACAAAAGATGCCCTCATTTGCTGCGTTTCCATTACAAATGTGCAAAAAAACTTTGTTAATACTCAACTAAAAAAATCACAATTATGCAATTGCAGCATTTCCATTAAAGGAGCAGTATTATGTGTTTTCCAGGAACTTAGTGCTATTTATAACATAATCAAGTAACTATATTACTTTCAGTTTTTATAAATATGCTGTATATATTAAACATGGCTTAAAAGAAATACCGTATTTTTCGAACTATAAGCCGCTGCATTTTCCCCTCGCTTTGGGCGGCTTACAGCCCGGTGCGGCTTTTCTGTGGATTTTTCTTCAACCACCAGGGGGTGCTTTAGCAGGAAGTGAATCATTGGAAGTCAAAATTCGAAATCAAAGAAGAAAGTGCTGATTTTAATTCAGAACAAGCACATGCTAGCAGCAGGCACGATGGAGAAATTTCTTCAAACTCATACCCCCTCATCATGGAAACAACACGAAGAAGTTCATATGATGCCGCTTTTAAGTTGAAGGCTATCGACCTGGTAGTACAGGAGGGAAATAATTTGTTTTTACCAGCCTACTGAGCTTACCAGTAGCCTGAGCAGATGCGCAATTCCACCAGGTGTTTGCTAATTGCTACTGGCTAGTCTGAAGGAGCCGAGTGGGGGAGTCGTGGGGAACGGCCACTCAGTGAGGCAGAAAACTTGGAAGCTTTTAAACTGCAGCTCCAAGGAGAAGGAAGAGATTATAACATTTTGTAAAAGTCAAAAAAGTCGATTTTACATGGTACTGACCCTTTAAATAAGAAACATAATTAAAATCACGCATGAATAAGTTTGTTCACACCATAAGTCATTAGAAAAACATGATGTGATGTGAAAAAAGCTTTTCCATTGCAATTTGGAGAAAAACCACCTCATCCTGGTGAAACATTTTTATTGAAGAACATGAATTTTTTTCTGAAATTGGCATGTCTCTATTATGCAGATATATTTTTATTTTATATATATATGTTCAATGGAAACACAGCTACAGTCACATCACTCCACTGGATCCCAGGATGTTTCTGAGTTGTTTTTGAACATTTGTCTGTTTTTAAAGACGTTAATGGTGTTGCAGTTTCTTATTTATGTGACAACCATCTTGCCCAGTCAGGGCTTTTCGTTCTGCTGACCAACATCTTTTGGAAATCCTCAGGTTAAAGTCCAAACCGTGAGGTGACCATTTATTAGATGGAGATGGTCCAAAACTCTGGAATTCATTACCTTTTTAATTGCGGCTCATCAATGATCTATTTTTGTTTAAATCTAAACTAAAAGCCACATTTGTTTAGAGCCACTTTAGCACACTGTGACTCTTATGTTTCTACCAAATGTTGTCACCGTGTTTTTATTCTAGTCTGTTTAATCCTGCTAGAAAGTAAAGCAGTTTGGTTCAGTAAATGCTGTAAAATGGCATACAAATTAAATTTTATCTGACTCAAATTAGTCTGCAATCTTTTAAGAGGTTTCCACATGCTCTTACGCGACTGTGCATATTTTTGAGCTACAGTTTAGGAAGAATGGAGAGAGAGAAAGAGAGAGAATGGACTTGGATCCAACCCCAGGACCTTCTTGCTGTGAGCAGCTGAACCAAACCTGAGCCAAATATAACTCTCAGTGTTTTGCTCCCAGTGTAAAAAAAACCCTGAACTGAATCTCAGATGACTTGAAGAAGCTATCCGTGTTAATGTCTGCTTCCCTTTCAAATAAAATCAGAGGATAACTTTACAATTAGTCAACAACCTGATTGCTAACAATCCTTCATTCCCTTCATTCCTCTCCTATTAGATCTCCCAACAACCAACACAACAGGAGTTTCTGGTCCTTTTCTGGGAGAGGGCGCCATCTGGTGGTGAGTTGTGTCCTCAACTCACCAGAGCATGTCAAGTTGCTTTTGACCTTCGCTGCTCTGACCTGCCATTTCTCTTTAATGGGTTGACAGGACCAAGCTGAGGAATTTGGTTAATGCATTGGATCAGATTCTTGTGTTATTTGTGAATTATGATGTAACACAACTTCGTAATAAGATAGAGAAATGATTCCTTGATTAGTTTCTGGACTCTGAGTGGATCCACCAGCTCCTAGAAGCTAAGGGTAAAACAACAGATTCTTACTCAGTTTTAATGTTTATCTGAAACATAAACTGTTGTGTCGAGACATTCCTGAAAAGTGGAGATAAAGAAACCTGCATGTTGTTTCATGGTTCGTGTCCTCAGAGCACGAACTGAGGACGCCCTGCAGGTTTTACGTGTTTCCCTGCTTTAATATTGCTGATCTATAAGGATGAGTCACTAACAAGCTGCTGCAGAACCTGATGGAGTTATTAATTCCTTCATACAGCGTATTAGCGTGTGTAAAGACAGAAAACATGCAGAACCGCGTTCCTCGATGAGCAATATTGGGAAAGACTGAAGTGAGGCACAAAAGGGAAACAAACTGTTGCAAACATGGATTTTCCTTTCAGTTCTGTGTTTTCATGTTGAAAGTTTGTTTGTTTTGAATGTGCTTACTGAAATCTCATACTATTATGTCTTAATTTTTTTTTCCCTTAATTTCCAACTTTTTAAATAAAACAAACTGCATTATCTTTAATTAGCCTGAGCGGTTTGGAGCAGAATGCTGCACCGACATGTCTGATTTGGCAGGGGAGTAAAAGGCAGGACCAGAACTTGTTCCTTGAAATGAGAGGCTAAAACTCACAGCAACAAACCTGCGGACAGACGTTTAAATCAAGCGGATTGAGTAAGGTTAACCTTTCCGGTGAGGTCAGAGGTTGTGGAAGGGCTAATGTTGGTAAACACAATATTGAACTAAGACACAAAGGATGCTGGGAACAAAGATACCACCTTGTCTGGGCTGGAAGAAATCTGCTGACGCTTGCAGACACGACATCTTGTTTGCTTAACTAATCCACACTTAAGCCAGCACCATTTTCAAAGGATCAAGTTCTTGACCTGTTTTTGGCTTCATGTAGTAATTTGGACACAAGTAATGAAAAAAAACTGCAAGTCAAAAAGAAGAGACATACAGTGGTGAAAAATGAGGAAATTAAATTATTTGTCCTTTAAATGTCTAAAAAGAAAAGTCTTATAATTATTATTAAGCAACGTACTTTGTTGATCATGTGACTTGTGTTTCCATTGCAGTTTTGCAAAATACACTAATTTCAAACACTTCATCCTAGCAGCAAAACGTTTTATTGAAAAACACATTTTTTAGAAATTGGTGTGTTTCTATGAAGCAAATTTAACTTCAAAATGTGAAATTATATGGGAAATGGAAACGTAGCTTTTCTCACCAGCTTCAGCCAAAATCTTTACGCGACATTTTCCTTTTGTTCTTGATTTTCACATTTCGCTCCAAATCATATCTCCATGGCGTTTTTCCATGTTTATAACTGTTTGAACAGATGAGCGTGTCGCCTTTAGGCGTCTTGAAATTTTTCTCTTTCTGACATCGTCCCTGAATTCATCCGATTTTTCATGAGATCACACAAGATGCTTTTGTGTCTGAGGTTGTTGCTTTAAAGTACAACCAGCAGCACACTTCCATAAAAACTCAGATATTGTGAATCAGCCTATGAGGAGCTATTGCATCATCATTCAAGATTTCACAAATTTCCTAAAGGTAAAAATATCACTGTGAGTAAACGTATGTATTTGAAAAATTGCAACTGATCTATAATAGGGAATGTTTACTTTAACTTCATGTCAGTGAGATACAAGTGCTATTTGTCTTGCTTTGAGTGTCTTTAGAGGATTTTAATTCCTCTATGGCTGAAATAAGTAGCAACTTTGCTTAGACTTAAATCTTGTAAAAGCCAGAGGCAACTCATTGCATATAAATACATGTTTAGCCATCATATGTCTTCTAACTACATGATATTCTTCTAACTTTGCACCTGGTTGTTCTTGTTGCAGAGTGGTCATGTCTGCAGGGAATGCAAATTGAATAAAAAAAACACACACATTTTGTTTATGCAAAACAGCCTCTTCACCACCTCCAGCAGATGAACAGAATATTAAAGTTATAAGTTTCAGAAGAATCTGAAACAGGATCTGAATAACCCCCCATTACTTATTGATCAGCTTATTGGTGTATGAATGTGTGTGATTGGGTTAATTTGGCCACACTTCTCACATTTTTCTTGATGAAAACTTCTCATTTTTTATTTCACTTCATACACAACTTTGTGCTGGTCTCTCCCTTAACATCCCACTCAAATATCATTAAGGCAAAATGTAAAAAACAAACATGGATGATTTTCAAGGCACAGAGACGGTCTGAATGACTCCATAATAATAACAGGAAAAACTCCATCTGTTTGCCCTCGAGTCCCTTGGTTTTCATTACATATATCTTCATGTCAGGCAGCATCAGCAAACTTCATGTTACACATTGCAAGATGCTGTTTGCCCCTGGATCAGTCTCACTTAAACTGTGGCTTTGTGCAAAGACAAACGTCTGAGGAAAGCGATGCCCCGAGGAGCTTAAGAAGTGCTTGGTGTCTCTCTGCAAGCACGCCTCGACCTGCCTCCTCAGTACCTCTCTGCACTCTACAAATACTATCCCCAACATGTGAAAAGCTGCCTGGGAAGGTGTGTTTACTCTCCTGTCAGAGCAGCGTCAACAGGTAGAACAGCCGTCTGCACACTGGGACCACTCTTCATGGTTCTGCTGCAAACACTCATCGGCTGAAGTCTGGCTTTGTTTTGTTAAACCTGTGAGACTCTGAGAGAGGACGACATGTCTCTGCTGTTGGCCACAGACGAAATTAAAAACTTGATGCATCCATTCAGCACAGAGTCTATAGTCCTGATTAGAAAAGTGTTCACGCTGAGGTAGAAGGGAAGTGTGAACATGCAGAGCACGCTAACAAGCGCTATTACTGTATTCTCCTCCAGGCTTGGAAAACCCCACCGATTCCGTCTCCTCAGGCGGGTTTGATTCAGATCTAAGCTCTGCTCTCTGGCTAAATCCAGGGGAACATGTTTCTGAGTCCTCTTGAATTCCTGTCTTCCCATCTCTTCAGACAAACAGTCATGGGAGATGAGGGGAAAGTCTCCATCAACACACTTTGAGGTAAACATTTCTGGATGAAGTGGCTTGGAGGTTGCAGGCGCCGCTCCGTCCTCGTACCGTTGTGTTCTCTTTGGTTCTGCAGAGGTCTGGTTTCTCCTCTGCAGTCCCGTGCTGACGGTCAGCAGCAGCCCGAGGAGAACCAGGAAGGCCAGGCTCCAGTAGGGATCCATGACTCTGTGCATGGGACTGAAGAGGTTTGGAAGACATCTGATGAGAGAGTCGGTTTTGTCCAGACAAGCCACCGTCCACCCTTCCTCCAGCTGCCAGTGCCACCGGACACTGAACGCCACGGCGATCCACACCGACAGGCAGCAGAAGAACCCCACCACCTGTGGCAAGCTTTCGCCTTCATCTGAGACGCTGCCGTCCTCTTCCTCCTCACTATTACAGAAAATCGTCCTGGGATCAGCTGCAGCATGCGGCCACAGCAACCTGATCAAGGTCTCCGTGGCGGTCAGAAAGGTGGTGAGGAGCAGCACGGCTCCGTAGGTGTGGCTGAGGAAGAGCAGGAAACGTAGGGCGATGACGTCACCTGGTGGGTTCATCTCAGTCAGCCAGAACTTCAAGACGCAAAGGAAACTCAGGAAACCTGTGAGAACACAAAACAGAGAGTAAGCAGAAGCCCAACTACCAGTAAAAACACATAAGTTGTATTTTTTAAACAATGAATTAACTCTAATGGAAGCACTTCATATTGCAGTAAGCTTAGAGAAAAGTAAAGAAATCCTCAAAGTAGTGGAAGACTGTTACTTTATCTGAGCTGCTTTATCGGCAGGGATGATATCATGTAAGAAATCTGAAGCCTTGGCATCAGTGTTTGCAAAATGTGAGCTGTAATTACCTAAACTAACTCCCACCCAGCCTTTGAATGCTTTCTACATGATAAAGTCGACAAGAGAGGAGTGGGTAGAGGACATCTCCTTGGTGCACACCCGCCTTCGCTGAAACTCTTGATAAAGGTCGAGTCGGGCCAATCTGAGTGCAGAACCTCGACTGGCTTGTGTTGCATGTTCGGCGAGAGAGCTAATACTGATACCAGCTGCACACAGCTTCACCTCAATAAGCTACATTAAATTCACTTCTTTAAGCGGCAGAAAGAACCAAGTGGAAGCAGAGAAAGTGATCATTGAAGCAGTGCTGACCCTGGACAGGCAGGAACATTCAGATAAGAAGCTTCTGCTGCTGTAATCAGTGGATGAGGTGCAGACAGAGACAAGCAGGGCATGTGCATTACACATTCAAATTCAAGACGTGTGTTTAGATACTACTTCAAGGTAAGGAGTTCAGAATTTAAATGTGTTCACTTCCTAAAGCCCTTTTGATCAAGCCCTTTGTTTGCTGAAAACCTTTTTATCATTAGATATGCACATCATGTTGATCCACCTCCTTCCAGACAGCAAGAAAAAGCACAAAGTAATGGAGAATTATGTAGAGTAAGAGCAAAGATCCATGTTTTTTTAATGTTTGGTGTGTACTTGTATTCAGAGGTGAAACGTCTATAAGAAGAAGTCCAGTTGTCTTCTGACTGAGAAATGTAGGTACTTTGATAATCACAGCTTCCGTTAAAGACAAAATTAGATCAAATTTCACTGAGAGAATCTATGGCAAATACCAAAGACATCACAGTTTGACAACATTTTTCTGTAGATTATGATTTTTTATTTTTTTTATCTGTGGATTCATACATTTGACATCAAGGTTAAAAAATGAAAATCTGCACTGCAAAAACAAAATCTTACCAAGTATTTCTGGTGTAGATTCTAGTGCAAATATCTTAGTTGTACACTTGAAATAAGACACAAATAACTTATCAGTAACTTTTCAGCTAAATATAGGAGTTTGTTTTAAATCAGTAATTCCTTCAGATTGATGAAAAAGTACTAGTTCCATCCTTGGCAGGTAATTTAACTTATAATAAGACGTTTCCCGCGTTATAAGTAAAATAATCTGTTAATGGGACTAGTGCTTTTTCAACAATATGAAGAAAGTATTGACTTAAAATAAGCTCCTATGTCTTTCTGTAAGTTAGTTTTGTCTTATATCAAGTGTACTAAGAAATTTGCACTAGGATCTAGACCAAAAATACTTGGTAAGATTTAGAGTTTTTGCAGTGTATGGCAGACTTTTGACATTTAAAAATAAAAGTAATGCTTTACACAACAGCATTGCTCAACAATAGAAAAGCTTGAGATAGTGCTAATTATAGTGAGGCGTCAGATGACAATATCAGTTGTAATATGTTTTTATTTTCTCTCTTTTTCACCTTTGTTTCCATCACTTTATTACTTTTAGCATTTGTGAAACATAATTTTTGTCTGGTGTGAACATCCGTAGCTGTGAGACTGGCTGAATATTACATTAATGTGAAAGAGACAAGTTCACAACACTTGGAATATATTAGGGAACAATTACTCCCCTCCAAAGAGTCCTTTGAGGTATAAATACGATATCTGATATTTCAATGGCGACACATCTGCCAATCATTGTGCAGTTTCAGTAACATGCCTTGACATGAAGTTTAAATAAATGATAGAAGGTATTTATGGAGCATAATATTTACAAATACAAACATTTATATGGTTAAAATGTAGCTGAGATTCCTGTCCAAAAATATTAAGAAGTACCTTAGATTAACAAAGTTCTTTGTTGCTTTATATAAATGTCACTAAAGCTCACATAATACTAACTGAATATGCCTCAGCTTCAATGTTTTTCTTAGATTTTGATTGTTAAGGTGAAGCTTAAATTTGTCTTAAGGAATATTTAAACCAACATGTCACTAACAGTAAGTTCATCTCATGGACAGATCACAGATATACAACTTACAGCAAAGGCAATATTTAAAGAGCCAAACATTGTCTGGATCTGATTACACAACTGGATTAATTTGAATGTATTTGGAATTTAATTGGATTAAATATAACTTGATGTGATTTGAGATTTGTCGGGATGATCGTTGAATTGTTGCAACATAACTGAAGCGAATCATCTTAAACCTGCAGAAGGCTTTGAGTCACCAGGATCAAAAGGTAAATTAGCGTTTAAAAGCTTCACGCAGGTTTAATGTTTGATCACGCCCTGCATCACATTTGGGTGGGGGTGAAGATTAAACACTCTGCAGCACCTGCAACCACATCTGAACTCCACTGGCATCACTTAAACAAAATGAAAGCTATAACCACTGGAGGTCAGCAAAACGCCGACCTTAAGGGCATCAGGACTGCAAATCTAAAACACCATGAAGGAGCCGTTCGCTGATATTGGTGTTACATTTTTAGCTTGTTTACTGGGGCTTTTGGAGTGTTTCGTGGACAAAAATGAACTACAAACATGTTGTACTAGAGGTGCAGGTTAAGTGGTGCACCTGATTTTGTCCTTACCTGTGACCAGGAAGTCTGTGAAGATCAAGAGGGAGCAGCAGCAGAAGCTGACAGGACTGTGGGACGCAGCCAGAGACGGCAGGACGAGAAAACCGCAGACCAGTTTACATGTAGACAACACCACCGCTCCTTCCAACATACCATCCATGGCTGCAAGGAAACAACAAACATGGATCAACAGGTTTTTCTTTCTGCCTCAGGGAGGAGGAGCTCAGGAATGTCAGGAACGTTGCAGGTAATAATCCAGCTACACAGGTGGAATATCTTCTGTGAGATTGTGCTAAAAATAATAATAAAAAAGACTTTTCAGTGAGTGCTCCAAGGGTTTTGGGTCAATATTTGCTTGCGTCCACTGGTAATGAACCCTGGACCAGACAGAGCTCAGGGACGAGTTCAGCTGTGTCCCTGAGTCAACGAGAATGATACAAATAATTCAGATAAACCAAACCACAAAACCGCACAATCACACTGGTTCAAACCGGAGGATAAATATTTCCATAATCTTTAAGAGATTAAAAAATGTCTTACTGAAGCAAATAAATCTCTAGAGGGAAAGAACAGCTGCCATGGGGTTATTAGTTCTTACCTGCTCTCACAAGAGCCTGACGAGCGGCATGTCAAAATAAGCTTCAAATGCTTCATCCGCTTTCCTCACCTCCCCCTTTTGCTCCACCCTCACGGGATAACGAGCCCTCCCTACCCCCCGCCGCCACCGCCCCTGCCCTTCCTGCACCTGGCCTCTGGAGGTGACAGCGCTTGTGCATTTCTGGAGGGTGTGGCTGTGTTTGTGCAAGCTACAAAACCAGTGGAACAACTAGCTAGCCATGCAAACGGACGCAACGTGTTTGTTTATGTGTGTGTGTTTAAAGGGAAACCTGCTGATGTAGGCCAAGGATGTGAAAACAACTCCTCTGCATCCAGTTTGTTCAGGTTAAATGTTGAATACGCACCATGCAGGACGTTATATAAAGGCAGGTCAAATGGTGCATTTTAATGCCGTGGTGCAATCTATGCATGAATTATAAATCACTTTATAAGGCAAAGGTATCCTGTAGCAGTTTTTACAAGCAAGATGGGGTCGGCAACCTTTGTAATAGAAAGAGCAAAAACTTTAGAGCCACAAATGTTACATTGGCTTTTGAAAAATAAAAAAGATTGCTTATATTTTTTGATAAATATCTACAATAGAAAATGTATTCTTGTGTTTAAAGAACCATCATTTTTAGGTTTTAAAACAAAGAAAGGCACAAAATTTTTGCAATGAAGTGAGTTATTCTATGGGATGTTTGTATTTGTAAAAAAAAAAAAGAAAAATGCTACAAAAATCCTTTATTTCCTCTAAAGTTTCTACATTTAACATCTGTATTGTGACTTGGCACTTAAGAATAATTTACATGACTAGTGACTTAATGCAGTCAAATATTAAGCTTAATTTACATGGTTACTATTATTCACTGAATTTAACAGAATTGTTACAAAAGGGTGAAGTGAAACATATTTAAGTGCAAAGCATTATTTATTTGAAGAGAGGAAGTCTTTTATTTTGAAGAATGCTTAGCAGGATCTGCTTTTGTCTTTTGGTGTCTTCGGTTGCTAGGTTACGAAGAGCCTTTACCGTTACCAGCTCGCCGTTGTTTGTAGTTCAGATGTCCAGCAGACATCTGAACCTCCATTATGATTAAAGAAGCTTTCATTGTGTAATATTTTGTTGCTGAAACCCGGAAATAAGGACTTTATTTATTTTTCTGAACGAAGTGAAGCTAACGGTTCAGTTTAGCAGCCACCATAACGGAAGCATTGGTGCGGTAATAGAGGAAACGGCCTACCATCCGTACCGCAACAACGAAGCTGTTAGCCCGACTAGAGGAGGAGGTGGACAAGGAGAGTCCAGGCTTCGATTGTATGTGATCTCCAATGTGAACTGCAAACGACTTCAAAGTGTCCCGCATGCGCAGTAGAGGGCACAATAACGTCACACATAGATGTGACTTGGCTTGCTAACTGCCATAAAAAAGAAGTGTTCGGTGTTTGAGCATGAATGCTAATGGTGGAGCATATCTTATGATTTTGAAATTGTTGTCCAACCACAGCCAGCACGTTAACAACTTAATCCTCATAATAGTTCGCCAAGGTTGTTTTTCTTCTCGCTTGCGTGTATCAGGACGTAGAGTGGTGATATTTGTCGAGTATCAATGACGTTCGAGTTGGTTGAATGTGATCTGGCCGTTCAGATTCAGGTCACATTTGAAAAGATCAGATATGTATCGGATATCCAAGTGGCCTGGGTCGCATTCGAAAAAAATCTGGCTTGTGTTGTTCAGACTGTCATAAAAAGATCAGATGCAGGTCGCATTAAGGCAAAAAAGAAAAAATTGGAATTGGGTCACCTCAGGCTGCAGTGTGAACCAAAGACCAGCTTCTGGTTGACAAACCAGAGGAAGCGAGCCAAGAGACTGTGAAATACTAAACACGATTATTTTGTGTTTAATCAAAAGGCACTAATGGACATTTTGAAGGACATAGAAAATTCAAGGAGAAGTGTACTACAGACATCAACGGATATTTGACCCTATTGAGTTTCTCACTCCTTTTCCTGTCAGAGTGAAGTGCCTTTTAAAAGAAATGTGGGAGAGAGAGGTCTGAAATATCCCAGGTCAAAACAGAATGTGAAAGCAGATTCTGAAATCAAAAATTTGAAAACATTTTGAGATGAAAATGGTCTATTAAGTGTTGGGGGAAGACTGCAGAACTCAGATCTTAGTTTCAGAGAACAACACCCCTGTTGGATACTAACAACAAATCACAATATTCTGAACTATTAGTTCAGTCATGTCATGAAAGGGTGAGGCATTCTGGTGTAAGAGACACACTGATTCAAGTCAGAGAACAAATTTAGATTTGGATAGGGAGACAGCTTGCAATGGACTTTGTTTCAAGTTGTTCCATTTGCAGAAAACTAAAGGTCAAGGCAGCACAGCAGATTGCTACTCCTCTACCTCGATACAGAGTAACCAAATCACCTCCTTTTGAAGTACTGCTGTAGATTTTTCTGAACCTTTTTATGTGGGGGATGAAAAGTGACAAACTGAGGGAATGAAAAAAAAAAATCATCACACAGGACTCGTATTTCTCACTGCTCCAATCAGGCTGACCTGGAGATTTATTTCTGCCTACACGTTACAAATTCAATAGTTACTCCTACTTTGTAATGGTTCCAAGACCTTACAGGATTTCATGGCTATTGTACTTAGACGTTTCGACCAACAGCGTCATTGGAAAGTTTTTCTTGGCTCGCTTCACAGCGAAGTGTATGGATAATTCCAGTAATCCCACAGCTACAGTACCGTTGAGTTGTCATTTCCTCACCTATCCAAACTTAACTTCCTACTAACTTCTTGGATCCAAATTACATTTACTGAAGTGCAACCATCCTTTTCATGTCAAAGTGACCTGGAACACTTCATAACCCATTTCCTGACTAAAGCTGCACAAACAACATAATCGTTCTACAAAGACTCATACATTTAAAGTCATAAATGTATGTTTAAATACAAGATATATTGGAGGCCCAGGATTAGTGATACCATGAAGGTTTCAGTTTCTTTGTGAAACGTAAACTGAATGACAAAAGAGTTTTCAATTGAAAGAATGAACATTTTTCTTTGAGTTGAACAATCGATCTCAAGTTGAGACGGGAGGTACAAAACCTCCAAGTCATCAATAAGCAAACTAGACATCTAAAGCCCAACCCAGAGATTAGACCAGAGCATGAAACCCTGAACAGAAGCATTTAGTTTACATACTTTAGATCAACATTAGATTTTTTTTTTTTTTGCTTTTTTCTTTGGTTTGTTATTTTGTTTGTATTTCCTTTTAATTCCTGTAAAGCACTTTGTATTGCCTTGTTACTGAAAATGTGCTATATAAATAAAATTACATTTACCTTTAAAACAATAATTTCTTTTATATTAAATAAATGTAAAAAATAGTTGCTACTCAGGGCCACCAGGTACATTGTTCAGCTTATGCATACAGAAATAAACTCTTCTATAGTGGAAACATTCTGCAAAGACTCATGAAAAGCTCTCATATAATCTAGTGAGAATCTGCAAACTATGGAAGGGCTTTCAAATAAACATTTTCAGATGAGTTCATCTCATCCTTGAACTCGACCTCATCTCAAAGGTTTTATTAGACTGGATGTCCTAGTTTTAAACGGAAGTTGTTCTGTACCTTTTGTGTGTATTTTGAATAAGCGCTCTCCAGTCAATGTTTTCCTCATCGAAACATCGATGTCTGCTCAGCTGCCCACTGAACGTCTTACAGAAACGGTCACATTACATTGGCTATGTTTGTCTCATGTAGTTTCTGCTTTTTTATTTTTGTATCTTTAGTTTGCTGGTCTGATTCCGTAGGAATGTGTTCAGTGATGTTTCAGCAAAATGTTATAAAGTTAATTTATTTGTACTTCTTTTCTTCTACCTTAACAAACTCTTCACTGCAGAAAGTGAATACACTGTATGCCACAGCTGAACATGCATTTGACCACCTTGAGTGAAGAAACCACAATTATTCCACTGAATAGTAAATTCTGGGACACTTGGAGCTGTTATTTGTTACACTGTGGCCCTTTGGGTGTTTAAAAACTTAAAAACTTGGATTAAAATGATAAAGAAACAGCTAATGATTTTGAATATAGATATAATAATGCATATAGATTTTTAAGCGTTTTTCCTGCAATTAATTTCCATGAAGAATAACACTAAAAGTATCAATAGTATGTTTTATGATCTGTTTTTATTATTAGGTTGTAGGTGTGGGTTGTTTTTTTTTTTTACATCATTTTTCCATCACAAATAAATAAAACAGTGGTTCATTTAAAGTTTCCCACCATAATTTTTTTAATCTAAACTTAAAAGTTCCTTTTTTTATATGTTTTATCAGCTTGTTATGGATAAATGATCCAGTGTCCTTCCTCAGACTCTTTTATCTGCTCACATACACACAGCTGCACGCTCACATAAGCACAACATTTAAGGCTGGCGACAGTCTTCTATCGTACTCATAACAAAAAGTGATTAAGGCAGGACAACACCCCTTAGAGACGGTGATAAAACTCCAAACTAATCTATTACCTTGTGACATTAAAT